CAGATACCTTCCCCTCGGCCGGTGAATCAAAGGCACCGGGAATGGAACCCAGGGGCGCTCAAGCACCGAGCCAGTCCCCAGCCCCTTTTATTTTGGGACAGTTCCTCGCTAAATTGCTGAGGCTGGATCTCAACTTGCTATCCTCCTGTCTCCGACCTCCCGATTCTCTGAAATTAGAGAATTTCATACCCGCCTGCTAATGAAGTATATTCAAAGTCATTATGAATCAACTATTTGCTACACACGGTACGCATAAATCTCCACAGAATAATATTTAGTAAAACTCAAGTCCCAGAAGAAATGAAATGACTCTGATATGAATATAAAATGAACATGTATTAAAGATTTATTTCACTCAACGAGGGAACCAGGCAGATGTAATAATAAGTTTCTTTTTTTAAATAAAACGAGACACAGATTTATAAGGAGTGAAGGAATGGTGAAATAAACGTGCAAATGGACACAAATGCTTCCGCCGTGGAGAAAGTCACCACTTCGATTTCTTACAGGACTGCATGAGCACATCACAGACAAGAGACATTTTTCACTGCTACCAGTTATCAATGATTTATAAAGTTGTAAAACACCTGTCACAGATCATTCTGGAGAGGTGCCCTCTGGGGTCTAGACAGTGCACGACGCTCGCAGAAGCTTAGTGGGTGTATCTTATTAATGTCTTAGTAGTAGGTCTACAGCCCTTATTAAAAGGATGTGAGAATCTAAACCACCCCAGGGCACTGACATGACCGAGTGGTGTGGAAGTGGTGTGCAGGCCTGAGCCGCTGAGGTTCTCTGACCAGCGGTGTCCTCTTCTGGAGTGCTCCACGCATGTGCCTTTGACCTGGTGATCAGCCCTAGTCCTGCCAGGGCTTCGCACTTAGTTCACCACTTTAACTTAGCTAGGCATTCAGTATCACCCAAAACTCATCGCCCCACAAAAATCCATTGACTGAATCTTTCCCATGCTTCAACCCATCATTTAATACAGCATTCTTGTAAAACGGTTTGGAATTCTTTGGTATAAAAATGTTGCCTTTCCTTTTTACCTATGGCAATTTTCTATGATGAAATAACAGTTTTTCTAGTTAATATTACATGTATACATTCTGTATGTCTCCTATTAGAGTCCAAATTCCTTGACTGTAAGACCACCTATGTCCTTACTCCTTCTTAGCCTCATTCTGGGTAGTAAGTTGCTATTAAAGTGATTTGTACATAGTATGTGATCAGTAATAGCTTGTGATAATTATAAATTTTAACTGATTTATTATATCCATAAATTATTTTTTAAATATTTATTTTTTAGGTGTAGATGGACACAACACAATGCCTTTATTTTTATATGGTGCTGAGGATTGAACCTAGGGTCCCACCTGTGCTAGGCGAGCGCTCTACTGCTGAGCCACAATCCCAGCCCCTATAAATATTTTATTTTTAATTGATGTCACAATTGTCCTTGTTCTTCAACATTATAAGCAAATCTTTTATGATATGCTGTCTCAGTTCAAATCTGTCAAACATTTAAAACTATTTTTTTTTCAATTCAATGTAAACTCAACCATGAGAGAGAAAAATAAAAAAAACAATCATTGAGGAATCTCTGTTCATGGGTATAAAAAATCATCCTCAGATTTTTGGAACAAAACTTTTTTTAAAAAAATTTTTGTCTGAAATGTGCATCACAAGCCCAGAGGCAGCTATGAATTTTGCTATGGTCTATAGCTGTCCCCACAGAGGAGTCTGGACAACTGTGGTTTGATGCATTCAGGCCCAAGAGAGATTTCTGCCCCCCTCATTAAAATAATTTCCTCCTGGAACTCCTAGTTCATTATTCCTCATTTGTTTTCCATTTCCCATTACTATGTGATCTCATTTCAAATAAGACTTCTGGTAAACAAGAGTGAAATATGTTTGCAAATCACAGATGTTCTGAAAAGCTAGAGTATGGTGTTGGTGAAGGGCACTATAGCCATATAATACCCAGCTTCAGGCAGGGAAGAAATTACTTAACAGATGTGTTATAATGGACAGTAGCAGAAGATGCTTTGAATGAGTGTTACTTTTGTTTCTGGTACAGAAGTGCAAGTAACATTTTTCAAGGCACTGGAGATTGAAGTTAGTTGACCCCTAGACTTCTAGTCCTCTATTAGGAAACTACCATAAGAAGTGTAGATTTGGTGATTTCCAAAATAGCTTCAACATTTCTGCTTTTTCCTAATTTATGCAAATACCAATAGTAATTTAATACCTTAAAAAGCACATTTATTTTGCCTATTTTATATTTTATAAAATAGTTATCTTGAAATTATATATTAGGAGAATGTTAAGACTGAGAATCGAAAACAAATGTTTATCTTGCTATTAGAGGCCTAGCATACTAAAATAATTTATAAAGGCCTAACAGAACAATGTGAATGAGTGTCCTATCCACTCTAAAATTGACCCTGCATGGTCTCCTTTCGGTCCTGATGTGCTCAGGTAGATATGTGCTCAGGAGTTTACTCTGTTCTGCAGAGCCAGAACTTCCTCTGATGGACCTCAGAAGTTTTAAATATCGTCAATAGTGTTTAAAAGGGTAAATTAATTCAATCTGCTGGAGTATTTTATTGTCTGAGGGGTTATTCTTTAAACACTGTCACTATAAAGGAATGGACCAATAATGTGAGAATATCAGCCATAATTAAGAGGCCTGTAAGTCATCTGTTCACAGTCATCCTGTGGAAATTAAATATCACAGTTGTATGAATAGTTAAAAGTATATATAGTTAAAAAGTACATATGAATAGTTAAAAGTATAAAAGAGCTTATTTTCCTCTGGTTTCTTGTTAAAAGTGTCAACATTTCCTCTTTATGCTTATGAAGAAAAATTTAAAATTTTGTTTCATCTGTGCAATTGATAGCTTCTGAAATTCCAGAATTGTTTGGCTTTCTTAAAAACAAGAATCTCTCTCTATCTCAGTTTTTTCTACTGTGATTTTTTTACCCCAAAATGTTTGTTACATTTAAAACATAAAGCCAAATACATAGATCCAGATGTATGAACCATATACAAATATTTATACAATCATTATTCAGTTCTACATAAATCCATCTGTACATTCTAATTTATCCAGCAACACTATTTTACTCATCCATCTATATATTCTAATTTATCCATCAACACTATGTCTTGAGTAAAATGCAGCATATCTCTAGAAAAGCAAAATTGGTTATCAGTAACACTGTCAAAGTAGATTATTTTCCATTTATCACTTGAAATGGTAGAAATAGATATTTCCTGAGAATAGGAGAATTGCCAAGAATGAATCCATAATATTTCTTAATACATGCTCTGTAAGAATAATTAATAGATGAGCTTCTGGGCATATCAACACTAAACAAACTGAAGCTTCAGGAAGACATTTTATAAGGTAAACTTCATTCCATGAGGGTTATTTGTTTGGTTTTTTTTTTTTTTTTTTTGGTTTTAAATGCAAAGAAAGGACTTTATTTTGTCCAACAGCACAGCATTTGCAAGTCTTATTTTCTGTATAGTTAAAATGAGGAATTGTTTGGGGGCTACCTATAACTATTAACAAAAGGAGATATCTGATTTTCAACACTGTATAGGTTATTCCAATAATAACAACAAAAAGAGTGCAGGTCTTCAGGACAGGCAGAAGTTTTGTTTTGCCAGATATGGAATATGTGTGCTGTCACTGAACACAAGAATGCCCTGTCAATTGTGGGGTCATGATGCAATAGTGTCTTCACTGTAGGATGGTCCATCTTACACACTGCCTCAGACTGGGCACAGGACTTCAACACCTGCTCTGGTAACTGGGGACAAGGTACATGCAGACATGGAGTGGCATCATATTTACATGAATGGCTTCTCAGCAGCAACTCAAAGCAAGTCACGTTTCTATAGAAAAGGTCATATATACACTCTGCACTTCAGCCTCTAAATGTGAACCCCCAAACATTCCATTTTCAGTAATCAATGAATTTGGTGAGGGTCCCACACCCTCAAATCCTAATTTATCAGAGCAAAACCTCCTCTTTGGCTTCCAAGAGCTGGTCATGGGATTCTTCTTGCTGCAGCAACTTATGCAGATTCATGATGATTCTTTCAATGTTGAGGGCATGCACAGCATGTGTGGGCATGACTTCCCCATGTGCCTGCAAGGTCTCAAGGAGCTCATTCATGTTCACTGGAGGTAAGGCGCATGCAGAGCATCCCTGAAGCAGGCAACCAGGGGCTAGGCTTGCCGTTCCCACAGCACCGAGGAGGTGCACAGCCAGGTTCTGACCCCCACAGGGGGCAGATGCAGCTGGAGGACTTTAGATTATAGTATTGCAAGCCACCACATTGTTCTTCAGACAAGGCTGTGGGGTCATTACTGCTGAAGACATATTTAAAATGTCCATCTTGCCACCAAAGGCCTTTCCTTGAGGATACCACTGATGACAGTCTCCAAGTTGGCTCTCCACTATGTAGACCACAGCTGAAATGGTGTCCTGTGCCGTGTCCTCCAGCCCATGCCTATAGATGGCCTCTGTCATCCTCCTTGGAGCTGACTATGGGTGGGAACAAAGTTTCAAGTTGTTGGCATCTTGAGGATCCTTTGCCACGAACTGCTGTGCTCCAGAGAGGGGATTCTGGGGCTGTAATCCACCATGAACTGCTGACGAACAAAAGAAAGCTTTAAACTGCCCTTGGTTTCCCAGGTTTGGCTGCAGAACCACCTGTCCAGTGCAAAGATCCAGCACCCTCTGGCATGGAAACCCAGGTCTGATGGCTAGTGAGAATGGCAGGAGAAACTCGTGGCCAGGATGGACATTATCCTATGCAGAAAGTTGATGCGCTTCACAGTCACATTCTTCCTTGCTGATCTTCTGCTTGGCCCACAACTTTAAGTTATCCTAGTTCTGCTGAACGTTGTCCCCCTAGAGCCACTCGGCTGCTTCTTGGTGGCCTCCAGCCAGCTGGTAGAGGTTGCCATGACCCAGCGTCAGGGATGGCACAGCCCTCTACCATGATTTTTAATGCTGTTGAGGGGTGTTACTGCCACACACCCCTATTGCTATGGGAGCAGAGGCCTTCTTCAAATCATTATCCACAGTACCCTGTAAAGATGATTATAGAAGAGCAAAAAGAAGAGTCAAATTGCCCCCTGGCACCTAACACCTGCTCACCTAAGAAATAAAAGCATTAAATTCTTTTTAAAAATTCTTAGAGAGTTCCCGCTGTTTCTGCCCCAGAACCGGGCGAAAACTGTGTATGAGGGATTCATTTCGGCTCAGGGGAAAGACTTCCACCTTAGAATAGTGTTGCCTGAAGATTTACAAGTGAAGAATGCAAGATTACTATGCAGTTGGCAGTTGAAAGCTATACTTAATGGATACCATCAAATAGTCCAACAGAGAATGCAGCACTCTGCTGATCTAATGAGTTTTATGATGGAGTTGAAGATGATTTTGGAAGTTGCTTTAAGGAATAGACAAGAGTTATGCGCACTACCTCCTCCTCCCCAGTTCTATTCAAGCCTTATTGAAGAGATAGGAACTCTTGGTTGGGATAATATCCCGCAGAATCACCAGATTGTTTTGTGGATTTTCCTGTTCCATTTTCTATTTCCTGGACACCACAGGGCTCCTTAATAAGCATTCATAGTCAGTTTTTGGCAGCGTTAGAATCACTGAAGGCATTCTGGGATGTTATGGATGAAATTGATGAGAAGACCTGGGTACTTGAGCCAGAAAAACCTACCCGGAGTGCAACAACACGCAGAATTGCATTAGGAAATAATGCTTCCATAAATATAGAAGTGGACCCCAGGCATCCTACTATGCTTCCTGAATGCTGCTTTCTTGGAGCTGACCATGTGGTAAAACCCCTGGGAATTAAGCTGAGCAGGAACATACATTTGTGGGATCCAGAAAACAGTCTATTACAAAATCTGAAAGATGTTTTAGAAATTGATTTCCCAGCTCGTGGTATCCTGGAAAAATCTGATTTTACTATGGATTGTGGAATTTGTTATGCCTATCAACTTGATGGTACCATTCCTGATCAAGTGTGTGGTAATCCCCAGTGTGGACAGCCTTTTCATCAAATATGCTTATATGAGTGGTTGAGAGGACTACTCACTAGTAGACAGAGTTTTAATATCATCTTTGGTGAATGTCCATACTGTAGTAAGCCAATTACCTTGAAAATGTCTGGAAGGAAACCCTGAAATAAGCATTTCTATGAAGAAGTAGAAACTTTATTAAAAGGATTTTATTTGATATCTTCAGAGAATACATAAAGCAAGACATACTAATATCAAAAGGAAAACTATGATGACGCCATAATAATATACATCTGCCTTTGCCTCTTCACTAAGAGTAAACTGGGAAATTGTAGGCCAGAGTCCTGTAGAACTTTCTAAGTCTGTGACCCCTGTACCAATTGGGGAAGTATGTGTGTACCAAGGAGGAGACCTTGACTTGCTGATTACATCTGAATTGGTAAAATCTTGATAGGGCTCATAAAATGAATTTGGGAATTGCACATAGCTAGATTTTTGGGGAAAACTGTTTATTTCATTCAGAAGTTCTGAAGACTCACAATATTTTTGTCTTCTCTTTCTGCCTTCCTATGGAAAAAAATACATATATAGTTTGTTAGATTTTTTTTGTCTTTTGAATATTCTGTATGAATGCTAAATAAAATTTAATCAAATCAGAAAAAAAAAATTCTTAGATAATTTCTATCACACAGATGGTGTGTTTGTTCTCGGATGAGTAGAAGTGTCCCTTGATCCATTTTGGCAAAATGATGTGAATTTATCACATTTATTTGCCAGTAAATGCTGATGATGACTGGTGGGATCCCAAGTCTCTTGTAAAAAGTGACCCCCATGTAATTCTCTTCAGGGTGACCAGATTCATCCACTGAGGGAGTGACAGCCTTGTTCTAGAGCCCCAGACATCGTGGCTACATCTGGGCAAGGGTTGAGCAGATGTTCTGAAGATGTTTTCGGACTCAGCAGAGTGATCTACCCTGAGCCAAGACTGACTTCCAGAGCTCTGCGGCTTATCAGTCCGGACACTGCCTACTCTACACTGGATTTCAGCGTCTGATGGCCAAGTGCCCCGACCATCTAACAACAGCAGATCAGCTCTTCTCCTTCCATGCAGTGGTCTTTCCTTAGCGACACAATGTTCGTTTAGTATCCAATTAGAGGTATGGAAAACATCTGCACTGTAGACTCAAATACATGGATGAGAAAAATTAAGGATAATATAAATAAATGTAGAGAGAGATTTACTTGGAAGGCTTAATATTTTAAGATGTGCATTCTTTTCAGAACAATCCATTGATTCTCTCTGAATCAATCCAAGCAGGATTTTTCTTAAGATATCAACTGGATGATCCTCACACATAACGTGAAATGAGGCAACTAGAAAGAAGCACCAAGGTCATCTTGAAGAAGAAAGACAAGTAAGTGAATGAACAGAGTAGAGAATCCAGGCATTGATCCACATGTTAATATCCACTGTTTTTTAAAAATTTTATCACTAAAGCAATACAATGGAAAAAGAAAGTTCTTTTGAATAAAGAGCTGGTGATAGAATATCCATGTAGTGAAAAAAAAAGATACTTGATCCCACCTTGGACAGGCCAAAAATCATGAGGTGACTCATAAAATTAAATTGAAGCTAAACCTATGAGTCTTGCCCTTGCTGTCTATCACTCCGGAGGGATAAAAGCGCCACGGTGATGGTGTGGATCAGGAATCTGGACATGGCACAGTGGCGTGTTTTTTCTGCTTCCTGACATCTGTGAGGAGGGCCTGAGAGGTTGCTGCAGCTCATGGAGGCCCGTGTCAGGGCTTCATTTCTTCACCACATAGCATGTTAGAGAATAAAATCTCCTGGATGACCTTTCACTCATGGCTAAAGCTTGGTGTGAGACGACTGAAAGAGCAAGGTGCGTGTGGGACTGCTCTTTCTCGGTCACAGTACTCTGGGTGTATGTTTCACGTGGTGCCTGGCTTCCTGCAGCTGGAGTGTTTCAAGAAACTGATGGAGACTTAGAGCTTCCTACCCGTGAGTGCATCACCCTTCAAGAGAAGGAACACAGTGATACTGTGCCCCTGGAATGCCCCCTTTAGCACACAAGGACTTAGACCAGCCCAGGGAACTGACAGCAGCCCAGGATGGAACACACAGGTAAGTATCATCCAGGACACTGACTTTCTCTCACGCCTGTTGGGAGCTAGGGAAAGTTAGTGCTTTCTGTAGATAGTTGCTTTCTTGTGAGCATGCCAGGACAACTCTTCCGTAGGATGCTGCTGGTCATGAAAGGAACAAAGCAAAGTAAGCAAATTAATGGTGTCACTGCTTCTGAAGCCCATCTGACAAACCCCTCTCCTTGCAACAATGGGGGTGGATCAGAGGGTGTGCTCATCTAGGCAGCAGTCCCTAGACAAAGCAGGAGGTGCTGTCTGTGGCCACACACACGGGTGCTGTGAGCGGCAGGAAGGCAACTGTTCAACTGGTTGTTGCTAGGCTCTCTGGCAAAGCACACATCCAGCCTGTCATGGGTGGACGCCCCCAAGCATTTTCCAGGAAGTCTGTGCTTCACCGCCTCATCTCAGGGTGTCTTCTCTATCACGTGGCAATCTTTGGCACTACTAAAACACAATTGCACTGTGTAAGTTCCCCCCAGCCACCAATGTTCCAGAGTGTCAGAGCACCACCTTCTGCTGATCTAGTTACCAAAGCCAGTCAGCCCAAATTGAGGAGAAAAGAAAGAATATAGTCTTTCTGTTATGGTGGAATAGCAATATATATGCAGAGAGGGAAGGAATTGGGGGAACCTGTTGTAGATAATCTACTCCATGCTTGGAAAGAGAACATGTCTTTAGGGCTCCTGGTCTCCGGCCTTGGGTACGGACTGGCCCTGATGGCCATCTTTGTTCTGTGCTCTGTGTGTATCAGTCTGGCTCATTTTTCTCCTCAGTTCTTATAATACTCTTTGTAAGATTTCCTTTTGTTATCCTACCTAGTTACATCTGCAGTTGGCATGGGGACTATGTCCTGCTTTGGCTGTATGACTTTCTAAACTTGCTTCCTGATTGCTGAAAGTTGGGTGCACAGCAGTATTTTTGTACCCAATAATCTAGTTACTTTTACTCCAAGTTGGTAGAGAGTTTGCAAAGGGAACTTCTCATGAACTTTGTGGGGGTATTTATTGTATAAATCTAGTCAATGGCAAATCCCATAGGATATACCTACAATTCTTTTAATAGTGTCTCTCTTTCATTTAGTCATGGTACTACGTGCATGTGAACCCACACTCTTTCCATGAGTCCTCACATCCATACCAAAAGTAAGGATCGACTTAGTATTAAACGTAAATGAATAAAAATTGGAACAAATAAATAAAAAGTTGACTGACTTGGATGTCTCAACATTAAAATATCTCTGTTTGAGCTAGATAGTTCCTCTCACAGCCCCATACTTAAAAACAAAGACTGAACAGAAAAAAGGGGGAAGACATATACTAGGCACAGTGGTGTGTGCACAGGGAAGAGGCAGGGGGAGGGCTCAGGGGGTTGACAAAGGTAAAAAAGGAAAAAATGGGAAAAGATTCCAGATGGGATATAGGAATATTTAATAAAGGAGATTTTAAAGCATAAAGCACTACTGGAGATGAAGAGATCTAACAACTAATGATAAAAAGTGAAAGGTCAAATTCACCATGAATTTAAAACACAAATGCTCCCAATAACATGTTCTTTAAGTATATGAAATAAAACTAGATAAGAATAAAGCATAAAATTTCAACATTTCAATACACACATTGGTTAAAAGACAAGATACAAATAAGCAACAAAGTAAAATATCAGAGTGCTATGATGCTTCTGCTGATGGCAATGATGATGATGGTGGTGGTGGCGGTGGTGATGGGGGACATTAAGGTAAGGGGCTGCAGCACTCTGAGTCCTGTGTAAGCCAACCAGAATCCATCAGTGTGACCCATCCTGTTCTAAGGGCAATATGAAATTGCTTACTAATGAAAGACTTGCCCAAGGAAGGTGCTGCTCCACTTCCACCAGGTGCTTTCTCTGCCCTGCTTCCACATACCCCTGAGGAAAGCCTCCTCAGTGTTCCTGCATGGGCTCCCAAACCCCCCGAGGCCTGGCACTGGGACTATTCACAAATTAAGAGTTAACATAAAAAAATTTTTAAAAAATCTTAGAAATTTAAAATCATAAGGTAAATTCATGTATTATTATTCCATTAAATATTCTGAATATTCATGAATTAAAGAAATAAAAAAATTTAGATTGATAAAAGCATTACACATCAAAGGTACATAATACAGCAAAAGCCAAGGAAAATTTATAGCACTGAGGACTTACATTAGGAAGGAAGAAACCTTAATTCTCAAAACTTACAGCCAAGTGTGCATTGTGAGAAGTGAGGGTATTTTCAGGTTTAGGAAGATGGCAGAAGTGAGCAGGGCAGCAATCCGGTCTCTTCACACAAGAGGAGGCAGGGAAGGAGAAGCAGAATTGAGAGGTGGGTGATGAAATAAATGCTCTAAGATTTGATATTGAATAGTCTTAGATCTGGAGGGACTGGAAGACGGGGTACCAGAGTAGAAAACAAAGTCAGAGTTCCCTGACCACCACCGACCTGAACCATAGATGAGAAGGGAGGGGCATTGACAGGGGCGAGCAGACATTCTCTGAAGTTCTCCCACTTAGGAATGGTTGGAAAGACAGACAAAACTTAAAGCACAACAGTATCAGAAAGCTCCTTAAAATAGCATTAAAGAACTTAAAACCAAATTTTGAGCAGAAAGCTGAGCTGGGGTCCACGGCCACCACGTGGAGCTGTCATGGGAGTGTAGGACCTCAAGACCCAGGCCCAGCATTAGGTGACCAAACCCCTAGGCCTCAAAGCTGCAAGACACTTCCTCACCCAGCCCCCATGTCAAAACCCCTCCAGCAGCATGTAGCACCTCAGGTGTTGCACAATGTTACCACAAGATGTTCCATGTAGATAACCCTAACGGGCCCCCTACCACAAGATGTTCCTTTTAGACAGTCCTACCGGTTAAACTTGAGAACTAGGTTTAAAAACAGGAACTGAAAGGACAGAATGCAATTTTATGGTTTTTCCGAGAACAAAAAGTTGAAAAACAAGTTTACCCCCCTAGGTGACTCAACTGCTGAATTCAGAGGGACCAATAGGAAGGCTGTTGCTGTGCTAAGCTAAGACCTAACCCACCTGTTCCCTATAAAAGATCTATACCCCAAAGCCCGGTGTGCCAGCTCATTGAAGCTCCGGCTGAGGTTTTGCTGTGCACCCGCAGGCGCCTGTGTGAGAATAAACGCCTCCTGCTTTTTGCAGCCAGTGTCTCGTGTGGTTCATTCCGGGTTTGGGATCTGTGGATATTTCATTGTGGAGGTTCCACCGAGATCCAAGATCCCGGTTCCGGTTCCGATCCCGGTCCCTATCCGGAGGACACCCGACATCACTGGGAGGTAAGCTGGCCAGCTCAAACTGACTGTCTTGTTGTCCTGTTGGTTATCTGTTCTTTGTTCCGCGCAGCGTCTGTAAGACTATATGATCCTAGGCATAGTCATTTAGTAT